TCATCCAGTTCAGCTCGGGTTAAAGAGATGGGTCTTTAATCTAGATTTAAACTGACAGAGTGTGTCTGCCTCCCGAAAAAAATCTATCAGATAAAATGAGTTTTGATTTGAGATCAAATTTAATGGAAACTATTGATTGTGGGCACATAGTGCAACCTGGAAGAAACAAGGAAGCTGATTGGCCATCGAAACTTCACATGTTAAATAGAACCAGGTGTGCTTGTTTGATTATCAGTGTGCAGAAGGATCTCTGTTGGCAAAGTGAATGTGCTTCTCCTACCCAAGTTGGCGTTGATACTGGTTATAAAACCAAAGGAGAAAGATTGCTAAAGCATGCACAGATGTAGCCATTGAGTTTGGAGTAAACCACATGCTGAGTTTGTTCAAAGACACCTGGGAAAAGCCACAATGTGTTCATCAACTTTGAGATGCTACTGATAGGATAAAGACTCATTTCTTTAGTGACTACAGACTGTTTAAAAGACCAATTGTGAATGTCTTGCAAGTTGTTTGTTAATGCTAGTGGGTTTAGCATTTAATATGCTAACTGGCCATGTGCAGTAAATGCATTTGATTTAGTGTTGCCATTGAACCGCTATGTACTGTACTTTGTGATTTGTGAGTATTCTAGTAGCATTGGTTGTAGTTTAAATGAGCTAAACATCTTTAAATGACCACATTACTGTGTGTAGTGACTCATATATTTATACATTTTCTCTGTATAGGTTATTAAGCTAAGCATCTGAGCTATGCATCTGAATTAAACTCTGAAAATAAGCAAAGGAAGATCAAGTTGCTGAAAGATTTTCAATAAATTGCTTTGATGATGAAGAATCAGATGTTTTGAGTTATTCCATGCACCCTCTGAAGTTGATTAAAGCCATTTTCAAGTTTGGGCAGACATTGAGGCCAAGAAGAATCCTTAAATAACTTGACAACCCAGGAAGAATACATTCATTATTGGCAGCACAAAGTAACTCAATTAAAGAAATGAACATTTTCACAGTATAAAGTCTGATTATAAATGGGCACCATACCTGAGCAGTATTAGAGACTATGGTCAGAGAAAGCTGCTGATGAAGTCCGGCGTGAGTGAGCACAGTCTGAGTGTGGAGACAGAGAGCTCAGACTGTGCTCACACTGAGCTGAAGCAGATATAAAAACATTAGAGACACCTATTTCACTATATAGCTCAAGTTTTCCCTGAATTCCAGCAAGCGAGCAACAAAGAACAACCTCTCGTATATATTGGGAGAGAAGGAAAAGTGTATCCAGCTGGCAGCGCAGTATGTGTCAACCTGCCATCGAATGAGGGACAAAGACTGAACCCTTTCTTCCATTTCACTGCTCTTTGTATTCATTTACTTCATTTGTTTGCTTATTGTGATAACGTGTATAAGATGGACTTTTTTTAATCTGTATGATTGTATAATATATTTATTGCTAAGGCAACATTGTGATATGTTACACAGTCATGACAATAAAGGTTATTTGAACTGAGAGAAAGTGTGTGTGTGAGAGAGAGAGAGACAGAGTGTGTGTGTGTGTGTGTGTGTGTGTGTGTGTGTGTGTGTGTGTGTGTGAAGGGTGTTGGGCTTTAAACAGGCAACCAAACACAGCTGTCAAGATGAATGATGACTTGTTTCTTATCATTGGGTGTAGTGGTACAGCACTGGCTTGATATTGTTCTGCTTGAATGATTAGTGAGGGAAACACACAGTCAGCATCTCATGTGATATGTTTAAGACACACACGTCTGATATCGCATCATTCAGCTACAGACACACAGCAGTCACACTTCATCACTGCGTCATATTTAAGGATAAATCATCAAAGGTGTGCAGCTCTAAAAGTAATTGATCAGTTTCATATTTTTCTGCTACTTTCTGAAAGAATTGGCATCTTTTCATGTTAGGTTTCTAAGCATGTTCCTCATAACTGCCTCGTGTCAGGTCAGGCTCACTCTCTTCTCTTGCATTGTTTAATATGTTCTGATTGATGGTGATGGGAATATTTTTGCCCAAAGGGGAGTGAAGAGTTGGCAGAATGAAGTGGGGTGTGGATCTGTGAGTTAAGAGACGAGGGGAGGAAGGTCAGAATGAAACGCAAGCTCCTGCTTTAAGGGGATTACTAAACTTAAACATATTATTCTTGTTTATTTATTGAAGCTGGAGCCAGCAGTGTACTAAATCATTATACTGTCCACTGAGCACTTTTGTAATATCATGACCGGGTTCTGCGTTCTTATACAGAAACTCAACACAAAAGACTATGTTTATTATAATTGGACACGGGCCATGTATAGTGCAAGAAACAGCTAAAATGTATTGTAGGTGGTTACAATACACAGACGCACACACTCTCACTTAATCTCTCTCCCTCACACACACTCTCACACACTCTCACACACACACACACACACACACACACTCTCTCTCTCTCTCTCTCTCTCTCTCTCTCTCTCTCTCTCTCTCTCTCTCTCTCTCTCTCTCTCTCTCTCTCTCTCTCTCTCTCTCTCTCTCTCTCTCTCTCTCTCTCTCTCTCTCTCTCTCTCTCTCTCTCTCTCTCTCTCTCTCTCTCTCTCTCTCTCTCTCTCTCTCTCTCTCTCTCTCTCTCTCTCTCTCTCTCTCTCTCTCTCTCTCTCTCTCTCTCTCTCTCTCTCTCTCTCTCTCTCTCTCTCTCTCTCTCTCTCTCTCTCTCTCTCTCTCTCTCTCTCTCTCTCTCTCTCTCTCTCTCTCTCTCTCTCTCTCTCTCTCTCTCTCTCTCTCTCTCTCTCTCTCTCTCTCTCTCTCTCTCTCTCTCTCTCTCTCTCTCTCTCTCTCTCTCTCTCTCTCTCTCTCTCTCTCTCTCTCTCTCTCTCTCTCTCTCTCTCTCTCTCTCTCTCTCTCTCTCTCTCTCTCTCTCTCTCTCTCTCTCTCTCTCTCTCTCTCTCTCTCTCTCTCTCTCTCTCTCTCTCTCTCTCTCTCTCTCTCTCTCTCTCTCTCTCTCTCTCTCTCTCTCTCTCTCTCTCTCTCTCTCTCTCTCTCTCTCTCTCTCTCTCTCTCTCTCTCTCTCTCTCTCTCTCTCTCTCTCTCTCTCTCTCTCACACACACTCTCTCTCTCTCTCTCTCTCTCTCTCTCCCACATACACACACGTTTTAGGGGTTAGGAGCACCCCAACCATCTCAAGGACCCATGAGCAGTTCAATAAAGAAAAGTGCATAAAATCCATTTTTCAGTCCACTAGTTTTTAGAAAATAAAATAATATCAAACCATCTCACTTACCAAAATAACGAGTAATTTAAACAAAGCATAATTATTTCTAATTAAAAAAAGTTTAAACATCACCTCCATAATTTTCTGTCCTGGATATTTAGCTTCACATATTGGCGTAATAAGTGAACCATAATAATCTTGCAAAGTAATTTTGAATGTTATCAGAAGCTTTGGCTATTGTTACATGGGACTATTTTATCTGAAAGCTCCTTCATGTGCGTCAGAACCACCAGCACCACAGACGCCTCGAGCGTCCCACGAAGCAGAGAAACAGCGAATGAAAACACAGCGTTACCTGTGATCAAGCAGCCAATCAGACACAGCGTGACGGACGACAGGTGCCTCATGGTCCACATCCACAGAGAAGATCTTCTGACGGTCTGTCAGAGAAACCAGTGCGCACACATCCCTCGATTCGGACACAAATGAACTCTCCCTTTCTTTTCCTCCCAGTGTCTCCACCCTCTCGTCTGCCGTCCAGAAACAGGGAGTTGAAGTTCCTTTTTCCTGTTTCCTCTCTCTGTGCTGTGAGGATGGGAAAGGCCGCAGCTCAAACAATCGCATGTCATTAACTGCGGCTCCTGAAGGGAGGCTCCCACTTTGAGACGAGAGAGACATTCCGCAGCAGCCTTCCTGAGAGAATCAATCTAACCTCTTAATCATACAGTAATTTTCACCATGACTAACCAAACTTCCAAGTCAAGCTGTTGAGCACATGTCTGTTTTACTGTGATTAGCATTTTATACACGTATTTTGAATGATTGATGAAATTCTCCTTTCATTGACAGAGATTCAGAGTCTGCATCAGAACATTCTGGAGAACTTCAGCAGCATGTTGACCATGAAAGCCTTACTTTAGGATCCAAATGAAGGGCGTTTGTTGTGCTTGGGTTTCCACTCTCACACTGTAGAAGAAACGAGAACCAGGAATGGACAGACAACACTTTCACTGTGAGAACAAGTCTTGAATCTTAAAATGTAGCTACAAAAATTCATGGAACAACCAACCTGAAAATGAGAGTACTGTGAAAAGTTTTGGTCACTTGTGAATAATTCTGTGGAGGATTTCAAAAACAATTCTATGGATAGTTATTAATTTATTAACTTAAATCAAGTCAGAATCTGTTGGTGTTTCCACCCTTTGCCTTCTAAAACAGTTTAATCCAATGTACTGTGCACTTTTTTTAAAAAGTTCGCAGATGGTTTGTTCGAAGATCTTTGAGAAGCCAGTTCTTCTATGGATCTAGACTTCAGTCCGAACTGTTCCTGTAATCCCGGGCCGACTCGGTCTCTGCGTAGATCTAACCACCTGGTGGAATATAACAGGACTTGCAAAAGTAATGTTTGGAAATGTAAAACTGATATATGGCTTATTTGAAAACTACATAGCATGTGTCTTGGAACAAAACTCTGCGGGGCTCCAGGAACTGAGTTTGATCTGAAGTTTCTGGCACTTTTATGGGTTCATTCATTAACCCTAACCTTCTCCATAGGCGTAATGGTTTTTCTACTGTACAAACTATAATTATCACTTTAACTCTAACCTAAACCTGCCCCTCACAGGAAACTACAGGCATTTGTACATTTTCAGAAAACTTCATTCTGTATGATTTATAAGCTTGTTTCCTCATGAGGATCAAAAAAATGTCCCCGCAAGGTCAAATTGACTGGTATTACTGTCCTTGTGGGGACATTTGGCCCTCATGACGTAAGGAATACCAGGTACACACACACACTTGCTTTCTTATTTTAGCTGGGATTTTCCATTGACATCTACAGAAATCCATCAACAGAATATATTTCCATCTTCCTGCTATTAATCTAAGTTTCCTGCATTCACAGTTCGGCTTTAACTCGGGTAACATGACAGTTTTCACTGTAAATAGACGCTACAGTGATGCTTCACTCACAGTAACAACACGTGGAATAAAATCAAGTCTTTTACTGTGGAAAACAAATCACATGAATTACACACCAATGTAATTATTTAGCTCTACAGACTGTGACATGACTCGAATCTCACCGATAACACAAGACTGTGATACACCTGAGATTATGAAATGTGGATCATATTCTAGAATCACAGTGTGATCTCATCTTGAACAGGAAGTGGGTTTGTAAACTGCTGCAGACAGGAAGTGCTCCCCCTCCTCAGTTTCTCTGCAGGGTATCAACCAGTATCTTATTGTACTCTAGCCGTTGTTTGTTGACGTTCTTCATCACTGGGCGGTAATCGCTCTCTACACCTTTGGAGGCGATGACTGCACAATAGAGTTAAGGAGGGCTACACATCAACTGTATTTACACTTCTCATAGAGATCCATACATGATCAAAAGATACATTCTTTCATCACAAAGTTGTTCTGCTCAAGATGTTGCCACTTCCTCTCCATATTGGTCAGCTGGAAAGAGAACAGACAGCAAAACATTAAATCACAAACACAACTGAAAAACTCAGCGAGTATGTTTACACATTCAGCTCTATTTGGCTCATCATGCAGATAAACTTCAGTCTCAAAGTCAACTCAAGTCGACTTTATTTGTATAGCACTTTCCACGATACACACTGCTTCACAGCAGCTTTACAGACTGTCATACTGTTATGTCTGTAATGGCTTATAATGCCTTCTATAAATGCTTAAACAGAGCAGCTTTAAGGCTGGGAAATATATAACGATGGTGAGGACTCAGATTCATGGATAGCAGGACTAAGTGTGTTTTACGGGGGTCTGACAAATAAGACTGCCTTCATTATTATCCAAAAAAAGAATTGAAGTTCACTTTGTCCCCATCCATCCATCCAACAACAACAAAAGGAACCAAAATGACTGTACTATGTAGGCAAAATATGTCTTGGATGTACGCATGGGCATTATGGGAGAAAATCAAAAGAGTGCATGTGCATGGTGAAATCATGGTTATTCTGTCTTTATCAACACAATGTGATGTCTGGACAGTCCGGTTTGCTCTGTTAGACAGAAACGGTCAGTGAAAAGAGTACTGTGCTACTGAGTGAGAAACAGAAACACATCTGAAGCTGAATGGAGTGTGTATGCTCACCTCCACATGGGTCTCGTTCTCTTGTAACTGGTTCTTAAGAGACTCGTACTCCTCGTTCATGTTGTGTATCCTCATCTTGACTGTGTCCTTCCTCTGAGAGAGTGTTACTCGATCCTCCTGCAGTCTCTGATGGGACAAATGACACACTGAGTGCTGTGAGAGTGAACGAACCGCATGCCACGTAACCACCACATTTATAATAGATTATGTTATTTATCGTCATTATACTCCAGTTTGTATATCAGTGAAGCATAAGTTGTGTTCAGCAGTTTAGTACAAATCATGGGAGAACTGAGTGAAGAAGGGCAAATGACGGGGGCCCGTTTAGCAGGAGCGTCTGTAACCTTAACAGCCCAATAGTTTGGTGTTTTAAGAGCAACAATCTTTATGATTATGACTGCAGACACAAAGCATGGCAAGACTTCATCAGAGAAGAAGAATAGTGAATGAAACTTGAACGTGAATGATAGAGACCATCGGACAGACGCTACGAATCATTGTGTCCAAACAACACAGAAGTACTGCAGCACAGTGACAGAAAACATTCACCTTGAAGAACCTGTTTCCACAAAAACTCACCATGAGAACGTCACAGAGCCAGCAGCCATGAAAGAGCTGCAACTGCTAGAACTTTAGTCAGACACCAATGCTAAACCGTGAAACAGATAGTGTCACGATCATCAAACCTGAACTGCTGGAGCACCAAGATGCACTTAAACATCTGCCAGACTAATCACCTGACTGAATATGATAGAAGCACTGTGGACAGAAGCAGATTCGCTCCAACGTCTCTGACGCTCCGATCTTACAAGACTAATGATCTTAAAGCTCATATCACAAACGTACATTTCAATGCTCCAGATGGCTAAACATTTATTGGCTACACTGAAGGGTTAGTAATGTTTGAAGCCTTGCACGTTTTAATCCGCAATTTTCTTGCTGAAATTGATATTTCAGAGTGAACAGAAATTGTTATTAGACTAATAGAGCTGCTGAGTGTGTAAACGGTGGATTCCTGACCTTCTTGCGGTCCTCTCCGGCAGCTTTGAGAGCGTCCAGATCTCTGTATGTGTGGATCTCTTGCGTCATGAGCTTGAGCTGATCTCTCAGAGTTTGCAGCTCTGCGCTCACTTTGCTTTCCAGCTGCTCCACCTTCAGCAGATCCTGCTGTAGACGCTCACTTTCTGCAAGAATAAACACACGTACAAACATACATCACAAAACATCAGCTAGAACATCAGCATGTCAAATATAAAAGCTGTATTTGGACTGTGTAGGGCTGCCGTTTATCCTACAGGTGTCACTACAAACAAACTCTTTACACAATACAGATCGCTTTGCAACTTCACAGTAACACAGAATCAGTGCTGCAAACTTCATTAAATATGAGACGAATCCAAATCTGCTGTAAAGCAGCTCCACAGAAGACGATAGTGTCATTATTCAGATCAGTTCAGTTCAGTGTAATAATGGTGTAAAGTTCGGTTCGGCTCTAAGCAGCTCTTCAGAAGACAATAGTGTCCTTAAAGCGACAGCAAACATCATGGAGCTTTACCCATTAGGTGTCTTTTAACCTCAAGACTTTGGCTAATTTTCACGATCACTTTTGTGCCACATGTACATGTGTAATGTGAGAAGAGCATGAGAGCAGGAAGCAGTACAGGGTTCAAAGGTCATGATCTATTACCTTTGGAAACGATTGCAAGCAAATTTGGCTTCTCCGTTACAAAGATTCATGACACACTTAAACCTGCTACAAGAAACAGGAAGTGCCTGCTGGTCAGTGTGAGATGCAGAAAAGCCCGTCATCGGAGACATTGAGCCCTAATCTGTGTCCCACCAGGAGACCTGCTGATCTG